ATTTTTCTTCCTTTAAATTCAGATGAACTAATTATGTTTAAGTAAGTATTTAAACAATTTATGGCACATCTCTTAATGTTATGTCGTTGATTTATTTTATATTTATTGCACAAAAATACCTTACCTGGCATTGTCGACTCAAAAAACACATTAGTAAACTAGAACTAGCATAAATGCAGATTTTTTGAGAAGGATGAAACCAGAATTACTTTTTACAGCTTATTTGAACAATATCTTCTTGCTTCAACAACACGGAAAAATAATTAGTTTTGCGGACGATACTGTGATCTTTTACAAAAATCAAAATTGGTATTTACTAAAAACTGAGGTGGGAAATGACCTAAGTCTCCTAAAAAAATGGTTTGATCATAGAGTCTTATCAATTAATATTGACAAAACAGAATTCTTACCTTTCAGTAGTCTCGCAACATCACTTCCTACATTTAATATACAAATTGGGCAAGACTTACAAATTAAAACCGCTAAAAAAGTTAAATATCTAGGAATTATTTTGGACCCCCATATGAGGTGGGATGAACATATATACTATCTGAGAAAAAAAATTGTTTTCCTAATATATAGATTCAAGCAAGTCGCTCAATATTTAGATTTTAAACAGAAACGAATTCTGTATCATAGTTTGGTTGAACCACATTTAAACTACGCAATCATTAGATGGGGAGGAGTATCATTAACGTACAAAAATATGTTAGAGATATCGCAAAAAAATTTTTAAAAATCATGTTAAATGTTCCCTTAAGATATCCTACTATTTCTCTTTTTGCTGAAACTAAAATATATGATATAAGACAATTACGAGTATATTATAAACAAGTAGCAATTAAACAATTTCTTAATATATTAGAATTAAAGACATTAACACACACATATAACACCAGAAATAGAAACCAATTTGTTACAACTTACAAAAATAAAACTGTTGGTCAAAGAAGCTATGACTACCTTGGACCAAAAATTTTTAATTCCCTACCAGACTTTTTAAACAGTCTGACACATTAATTTTATTTAAAAGAAAACTGAAATTTTTTATGAATAATGCAAACATAAAGGAAATACACTCTATATTTGAGAATTAAATAAAATAAATAAAATAAATCAGTATACACCGTGTCCCACGTAAGGTGGGCATTACAACTTTATGGAGAATAAATTAATTTGTATTTTCGCCATTTTCTGAGTATACATAATCGAATATGCTCTTTTGAATTAAAATAAAATGAACTCTGTGCAACTTCCGGTTATACCGGAAGTGACCACTAACTTCGTTATTTTAAAGGGAATACCCCATATTTTTTTTAATTTTAGATTCAGCATGAAATTCTGTAAACAACGATACCCCATTTGCCTATTCTAATTATAGCGGATTTGGCGTTATTCATTTTTTTTTTAATTTTTAGTCGTCGCGCCGGTAGGCATTTTCTTAAAGTCGACTGTCTCAGGTACTATTTCTGTTGGATACTTGAAATTTTAGCCAGAAGTAGTAGATGGGATGTACTTTTAAAAACATTTACAGTTTTCTGCAACAAAATATGTCGTTTAAAAAGTTTAAATTTTTTTAATGATAAGGTACATACTAACTAAAAACAATTTTTATAAAAAGCACATGGTTTAAAAAAATCATTTTATCAAATGTTCAAAATGCTCCCCGTTAGCTTCTAAACATTTTAACAATCTTTTTTCAACATGATTAGTTGTTGCTTTACGAATCATTTCACCATCTAACTCGTTAAAGGCATTCCAAACTCTTTGCTCTAATTCTTCTTTAGTATTAATTTGGGTAGAGTACACTAAATTTTTAATATGACCCCATAAAAAAATATCAACAGGAGTTAGATCTGGGATCTTGCAGGCCAAAGCCAAGGACCATTTGGACCTATCCATCGGTCTTCAAAGAGTGCTGTAATTTCTTGATTTACATATTATGTTGAATGTGCTGGGGCACCATCCAACTGGTACCAAAAATTATTATTTGGTACCTGTTTTAAATTGTCGGCAAATACTTCTTTAAGAATTTTAATTTATCTTTCTGAGGTCAGTCTTTCATTATAAATGTAATAAAAAGCTCTTCCAAAACCGATCACTGCAAACACATTAAAACTAAATTCGTACTGAAATTGTGCTTCACGATAAAAATGTGGATTTTCGTTTGCCAAGAAATGACATTGCTTGCGATTGATGATCCCTTTACATGTAAATTTCGACTCGTCTGACCACAAAATTTTGTTTAAAATCTCGGGATCTTCTTGAATTCGTACCAATAACCATTCGCATAATTCAGTTCGTCTTATTTGATCACCATCTCGCAACTCATGAACTTTTCTTTGTGCATAGGGATGTCATTTATTTAGTGCTAAAATTCGTTGTATTGACCCTCGACTAATATTTAAATTATCTTGAGCCATTCTAATGGAGGCGTGAGGATACGCAGTAAAATACCCTAATACGTTAATTAGATTAACTTCTTCATCTCGGACATAATGTTGACGGTTTCTTCCCGGGTTTTGTTTAAAATTATTCAAAAAGTTAGCTCCGATTCTATCAAATTTCTGTCTATTCATTGGTGGTAAATGAGGGTATCGTTCATTAAACATGCGGCAGGTTCTACTTTTGATTCGATTACATTCTCCATGAATGTAAAATAAATTAAGAATATCTTGGTTGGTATATTCTTCAATATTTTCCATATTTTGAACGTAAACAATACACAACTTAAATACATAGAAATATGACAATTCAGTTTGTTGACAGATTGTTGTTTAGCATATTTCCACGGCATACTAAGATAAAAAATTAAAATGTAAAACTATACTATATTATGTAGGTGCATGCGTAAAATTTAAATTTAAATTTTCTTAAAATTGGCGATAGATAATTATAGGGAATTAATAGTGCAAATGAAGATCAATGAAGAATAATTTTCTGAACAAAATGAAATAAAATTATACAGGATTTTCCATTTAAAATAAAAAAAATTTTCATGTTTAAAATATTTATTTTTTAAAATAATTTCCAAACACACAGTCGAACAAAAGATGTACAAGTAAATTTAAAAAAGCAAATGTCTGCCGGCATATAAAAGTTTATAAAAAACTGAATAACGCCAAATACACTATAATTAAAATAGGCGAATGGGGTATCATTTCATGCTGAATCTAAAATTTAAAAAATATATGGGGTGTTCAATTTAAAATAAAAAAGTTTTTTATGTTTAAAAAATTTTATTTTTAAAAATAATTTGCAAACACCCCGTACAACAAATAATGAATAACTAAATATTCTCAAGAAGTACATCCCATTTACTACCTCTGGTTAAAATTTTAAGTATCTGATAGATATAGTACCTGAGATAGACGACTTTAAGAAAATGTCTACCGGCGACTAAAAATGTAGAAAAAAAATTGAATAACGCCAAATCCGCTCTAACTAGAATGGGCAAATGGGGCATCGTTGTTTACAGAATTTCATGCTGAATCTAAAATTAAAAAAAAATATGGGGTATTCCCTTTAAAATAACGAAGTTAGTGGTCACTTCCGGTATAACCGGAAGTTGCACCGAGTTCATTTTATTTTAATTTAAAAGAGCATATTTGATAATGTATACTCAGAAAATGGCGAAAATACAAATTAATTTATTCTCCATAAAGTTGTAATGCCCGCCTTACGTGGGACACGGTGTATAAAATATCAAATTAATATAAAAAAAATATTAATAATAAGTAAGCATAACGAAATAAATTAAAAAAAAAAAAAATACTTACCTGTGTATTAAAATGTAATTATTAAGTCTTTAAATTTAGTTTTAAGTTTTAAATTTAGTTATAAGTTTTTGAGTTTTAACAAAACCAATATTTTAAAATTATTTTACTGCTTTTGTACCCTATTTATACATTTATATTTCTTTATACCACATACAGACAATTTGAAGTTGTCTCAGTGGGTTTTGTGTTTAATTGTTCAACATATGTATTTATTTCAACTTAAAATATGTATTAATGTATTACTTGTTGGCAAATAAACTATTTTATTAATATTATAGAATTCACATTCTGACTAAATGTATAGGTAGCACTCCAGAATCCAAGGACAATACACATAGGAGCTTACCAAATAGGAAAGGGAGATCTACCTAACTTGGGGCCACTCTAAGTCCTACATTTTCTTGAGGCTTTAGTGACAGAAAGGAGCACAATAGATATTTTAGATTGTACTTTAATTATGTATATTCTCGTATACCATACATAACGTATTTTAACATAATAATAGGTATACTTTTGATTAGAGATAAGGAAGATAAAGATCGGAAACGCTCATAAGAAGCCAGTGCTTAATGACGACCAGTTTTAACGCAGTTAACATCTGACCCACTATGTGGCGCTTTCATCGATATCAAACAACGCAGCGGGAAATTTAAAAACATGTTCTTGTAAATAAATTTAAACAATGTAATTAGGCTAAATTATTTATTAAAAAGAATACTACACTTACAGTCTATTATCGATTAATTTTTGCAAATCTATTCAAATTAAAAAATATATTTTTCTATTGGCCACTTGTCTTCGAGAAATTCTATACATGCCAAAAAGTTGGCTTTAAAATTTATACGGCTTTTTTAAGATTTTTGTGTTTGAATTTTGAATTCAAATATTTTTTGTTCTGTGTTCTGATTTAAATAACTGCTGGCCACTCGAATTTACACAGTTCAATATTTTCAACAGGAATGCAAATTTTTGAACGCGACTTGCAGATTTTAAGAGCTAGTTTTTTTAGAATTAAGCTGCATGACGTATATCGTAGGACCATGGGTTTACTATTTATATACGAGGTGATCAATGAAGTCATGCAAATAATCTATGTGTAAGTTTGAATGTTGACGGATCTTCAACACATTTGAAAACTAATTTTGTTAGTAATTTACTATAAACTTTGACTTTTCTGCAGTATTGTTTGATATTATTAACAATATAAATTTTTTGTTTCAGGTAAATGCATACAGTTTTGGTAAGTGTAATAATGAACAACATCGACGGTTTCGCCATGGTTTCAAGAGCTTCACGTAATAAAATTAAAAGTACAAGATATTTTTCAAATACAAATGTATGTCCAAAACGGATAGCATGTAATGTCTTGAAGAGAATGTAATAACTGTTATCATTTTAAATGAAAATATTAGGAAAATTCCCATTTCCTCATCATTATTCTACGTTTAACTATGTGTCTAAAAACGAACACAATATTTATAGTAGGGCTGATACGTAAGAAATTAAATAAAATTTACCAATCTACAATAATATGAAAAACTGAAAGACTTTTTTATTCAAACATTATCAATACAAGCCTCTCTACTTGCATCTTTTTTCAACTTTTTAAGCAGTCTTTAATTATTACAATACATAAAAATTGCAAAAAAAAACATAAATAACTAACTACAGACCAATAACCCTGGAAAAAACAAATTGTTATTAAAAACAAAATATGAATTTAAGTAGGGAAGTTCAACGCAAGACGCAATAAGGGAACTAACTAATAAAATTTACTGTTCAATTTACAATTTTGGACTTGGCTAAAGCTTTCGACACCCTCAATCATTGTCATTTATTAAATTCCCTTGAACATATGGGTATAAGGGGTATAGCCAAAAATTTAATGAAGTTATACTATACAAATAGAAAACAGAAAACCAAAATAAAAAATATTACCAGCATCGATCAAATAGTCTCATGTGGTGTACCTCAGGGAACAGTATTGGAGCCTCTACTCTTTATAGTCTACCTGAACAACCTCTTTTTAGTTCAAAGTATAGTAAATATTATTAACTTTGCAGATGACACAATAATGCATTGCGAAGCTAATGACTGGAATAATTTGAAAAAATTGGTAGAAGAGGATTTTCCCAAAATAAAAACATGGATTGACTACCGATTACTATCTATAAATTTTAAAAAAATAGTAAACCTACCTTTTTAGAGTCTAGCCTCCGGTCTTTCTCAATTTCAAAATATCGCATCGGGAACAACACATTATATACTACCTGAAAATAAAATTAAATATTTAGTGATAATAATAGATAGCCACTTGCGCTGGGACAAACATATTCAACAAATTACATAGTGTATTATTTTAATTCATGCAGTATCATTTGCAAATTGGGCTTTCTACACAGTGCACCTTTTTAATAGCTTTGTGGCTTTTCATAAACTTATTGTGTTAATGCTTTTGGACTCGTCCAGGATATTGACGTATCTACATACAGTGAGCACCATAAGTCTTACCCCCCCCCCCCCCCCTATCTAACTCGTTACTGGAGTCTTGTTAGGAAAATCGTCGAGATACGTCGATTTTTGATTTCTACAATGTACATTTTCGTATAAATAGTTTACCCTTAATTTCATCCCTTACTGGAGGGGAGCAACCCTTTTGAAAAATTTAAATGGCATGGGGTAGTGAGTGATAGCTCATTTGAAAGAGGGTTTTATTCTCTATTCAACCGTGTAAAAAAATTTGAAATTTGCTTCATTAATTCTCGACTAATTGTTGTTTCAGAATAACGGAAATTAACGTAGCGCACTCATCCTTAGAATTAAAATTCGGCCCTGCATGATTTCGGTTTTGATTCAGACGTGAAGTAAGACTTTTTGCTATTAGAAGGTCACTGTTAGTCTAGTTGCTTTCCTATTTTGTGAGGTTTTGTTATTTTTAAACATTAATAAATAAACACGTAATGAAGCAAATTTCAAAATTTTTTGCACGGTTAAATAGAGAATAAAACCTCCTTTGAAAGGAGCTATCACTCACCACCCCATGCCATTTAAATTTTTCGAAAGGGTTGCTACCCTTCAGTAAGGGATGAAATTAAGGGTGAACTAATCATGCAAAAATGTACACTGTAGAAATCAAAAATCGACTTGTCTCGGCGATTTTCCTAACAAGACCCCAGTAACGAGTTAGTTAGGGGTGTAAGACTTATGATGCTCACTGTATATTAAAGACCATTTAGAGACTTCAATTAAATCATTTTTGTTTAAATAAACTAAATATTATATATGATGGAACACTAAATGTAAAGTACTTATATTGTTTATCATAAAATGGGTGTACTAAAGAGATTAAGCAAATGTACTGTTAGTATTTTTTTTAAAAGTATTGCAATTCACACAAAATAAATTTAAAAATAGTAAAAATTATATATAAGAAAATAAAAATATCATCCCTGAAACATAATTAAACCTAGGTGTACGTAAAATACAAATATTATAGAATTTAATGGTAAAAGTTCAACAGCTTGACAATTAATTAAACCAAATCGATACCCTCATAACATAAATTGTATCAACATTTATCGGTGGTCTGAAAGCGATCTAATGAGCTCTTGTAAAAGGTAGCTCTTTATCAAATGAAAAATTATAATTAGCATATCGATATTGGATATCGGTACCCGGAGTATGGACCAATTCTACAAGCGCTTGAGTGCCTATTATAGTTATTGGAACGAATTTGAAGGCTTTGTTATCAGTTAGATAACTTAATTTAGGGAGTCGGTTTCTAATGTTAAAGGACCGGACTCAATCAATATTGGTAGCTAAGTTAACCCTTTGTAAATTAAGTATACCAATAAATATAAATAACATAATTTAAACGTATATGTTATAAATATATTAATGAACATAAGCAACATTGGATGAATTTTACTCAAACAACATTCATCCGCTCACTTTCCGAAGGTTTTCTGTTACTTATAACAGATAATCTGGCAAAATTTATTTTTTTAAGGCTGTCAATTTCTTATGCTTCTCTCAATTTTCTGAAAACAATTATCATTTTTAACTAACTGTCAAGATAACTTACCATAGTTTTCCAGAATATGGACAAAAATATAATAATAATAATAATAATAATAATAATAACGTTTATTCAGTAAGCCAATGGTATAAAACATAACAGCATTATAATGTAGCGGATATCAAGAATATAATAATAATAATGAAAATGGAAAATGAATAATATAATAGAAACCTACCAAAATATGAACTTACTGAAAAGGACATATTCATCGTCAATCATACAAGATGAAAGAAGATGGTTTTCAATATATCCTGATGTAAAAAGCACAAAAAAAAGAATTATAACAAAGATTATAATAGTAAATCCCACAAAAAAGAGACAAACAAAATTATTAATTAAATAATAATAACTAACACCAATATCTAATTATAGTACCTATCTAACAATAATAATAATAATACTACAATAATTATTAATTGATGCGAAGCATCAATGAAAATATTTTTGATAAATCTTAAATTTTAAATGATACTTCCATGTCACCATTTAATATATAACATTTTATTTTACGCTTTAATGCACTTACAGATAAGTTTTTAAGTTCAGGGGGGAGAGAATTGATTGTTTTATAAAATATGTAAGTAAAAGAGCTTTCAAACATCTTAGTCTTGTGTTGCGGGATTGATACAAAATTTCTTCTACGGATATTAAGATTATGAACATCGCTTCTGAACCTTATCTTGTTATGTAAATATGACGGCGTTTTAAATAGTAAAATTTTTTGAAATAGGCAGCAGGAATGCAAAAAACGAGCTTGACTTACTGTCAGCCATTTTAGTTCACTCCTTTTACGAGAAACCCGTTGATTTTTTTTTAATTTATAAATTAATCTAATGCAGGTATTTTGAATGCGCTGAAGACGCTGGTTATTGAATTGAGTAATGCATGGTCCATAGACTGAATCACAAAAGTTCAAGTGAGAAAATACAAGCGATTCACATAATAAGATTTTAGAACGATGATCCAGGGTGTCTTTATTGCCGTAAATCATTTTTATATTCGTTACACATTTTTTTATTATATTATTAATGTGTTTTTCAAATCTAAGATCAGTATCAAGGAATACACCCAAGTTTTTTGCGATATGTGTATTAGGCAATATTTCATTGTTAACTTTAATTTTAAGTTGATCATTGTAATTAATTCTATCTTTTTCCTGCCAAACAGCATAACATGAGATTTAGAGGGATTTATATCTAAGCAATAGTCATTAGATAATTTAAAAAGTAAATTTAAATCAAAATTTACTTTGGCTATGCTTTCTTCAAATTTACAAGCAGGGAATGAAAGGTAAATCTGAGTATCATCCGCATATTGATGAAAATTGCAATACTTCAGTGAATCTGGGAATAAAGATGTATAGATGCAAAACAATAAAGGCCCCAAAATAGATCCTTGAGGGACTCCATTTTCTATTTCTAGTGAAGAAGATAATTTATCTTTATATTTAACATACTGCATTCTATTTTTAAGATAGTTATCTATAAGACATTTCGCATTTTCATTAAAACCTAGGTGGTGTAATAGCCCTATTAGCATTGCATGATTTATTCTGTCAAACGCCTTGCTATAGTCTAATAATACTAAAACTGTAAGGTGATTTTGGTCAATAGCTCTAATAATATCGTCAATGACTGAGAGTAGGGCAGTGTTGCAACTGTGATTGGGGCGAAAACCAGATTGATTAATAGGAATAATATTATAATAATCTAGGAAGGTTTTTATTTGTTGATAAATAACTTTTTCCATAACTTTAGAAGCTGTGCAAAGAATACTTATAGGCCTGATATCTTTAAATTCATTTGGATTTTTTATTTTGGCCAATGGAATTACTTGCGCAACTTTCCATTGTGATGGAAAAATTGCGGTACTGATAGAACTGTTAATGATGTGAGTTAAATATTTTATTACAAACGGACAGCAGTAAAGTAACATGTCCAGTCCAATGTCATCAGCACCAATAGCTTTAGATTTTATTGACAATAATATTTTATACACATCATTCTCACTGACTTCGCTGAAATGAAACTTGCCAAGTCCTTCTTTTCTGCTAAAGTTAAACTTTTCCAAAATAACTTTGTTAATTTTATGCTGTGACCGAGAAGAGTTGATAAAAAAATTATTCAACATATCGACGTCAGCTAAGTTATTAGGAATTTCGTT